ATAAAACACGAGGAACCAGAAACCTGCAGAATAAAACACGAGGAACAAGGAGGTTGGTGGTTATTCTTCATTCATCTTTAATAGGGTTGCAAAGTGGCGGAAACTTTCCATGGGAACTTCGTCTGGGGAATTTTGGAAATATTCCAAGTTTGAAACTTACTAGGAGTTTATGGGAATTTTTGGGAATTAATTGAAAATTTGGGGAAATTTATAAAACTATCATATACAAACATAAATATAAACATTTAGTTTGATCATAGGCTATGTTCGGTTCTTGAACGAATCGTTCTTTTGAGCCGATTGTCAGGAAGTAACCGGTCGAGCCGGTTCACAAATCGAACTGAATCGAACTTTAGTTCCGGGTTGATGACGCAGGACGCACAGCCCGAAGTACCACGGCTGCGGTCCAGTCCGTTTTTTATGCCCTTCACTCGCAAACTTCCCTCCATCTCGTTTATCCGGATGTACGTCATTGATTACGTTGCATGAGTGCTCACTTCTGGCGGACCCCTTGGAATGGGCTGAACTGGAACAACCTAAGCCCTTAATCACTTAGAATCAGCTATGGAGTTGGTTTATTGTTTAAATTTTTTCTCTTATGAATTTGTTTGGTGCAGTATTCTATATGTATATAGGTATGTTTGGGCTGTTATAAATGTAAAAAAAAAAATTATATATTATAGGGTTGTTGTTGTTCGGGGTGGGGATAAATTAAACGCGATCTGCGATGACGTCACAATCGTGTTGCATTGTGGTCTATGGAACGGCCTGAAGTATGCATATGAAGTAGACTCGCTCCCTCGGTCAAAATCGAAGGGTCGAAGGTCTGTCCATATAAACTTCCCTCGTCCACTTCACGAAGTGGAACGCACTTCAAAATGGCGGCGGGGATTCCCCCGAGGGGAAGTGCTTAGGGAAATTTGCGAGTGTGTGTCTAAAAGTGGAGTGGAACGCAGCCCTAGTGTTTCTAAAGCAGCCATCACTAGTCATCGCTCCACCGAACCTCAAGACCCGCAGAAACCCAAATAAAGTTGAATTACAGCGTATACGTATAGATTAATTCCAACTGAGCCCAAAGTTTACGTTTCCTCGTAAACCCGCTCCCGTTCTGACCCGTTCACCATGTAGCGTGACCACCCATAAAAGCCGCGTGACCCCCGGCGGCCAGAGGTCAGGAAGTACCGCCATATTGTTGTCAGAGTCCATCAGCGGCGGACGCACATGAAAGCGGCGCATTCCTGCTTTATGATGCGATCGGTGCGAGATTCATGAACGCCGTCGACAGGATTAACGC